TATTTAATTAAATTCTCATATAGTCCAATACTTGAAATTAAAATAATTAAATTCACCATTTGTACTTTCTTGAGCCATCTAGGCTTCCAATTTCTAACTCCAAAAATTAATCCTCAATAGAATTATATATGAAACAATCTCCATAATTTTCGTAAATCCCAGGTTAAATTAGAATAATTGGCAATTAAATTTCAAATTTCCTTAATTAATTAAGTGCTAATCATCATATGTGATAGGGTCATTACACCAGGATTCCACTTAAACTAGCCAAAACAGATAACTACCCTTTCCCATTTCAATGTAAACAATTTCGAATCCGACCTTGTTTCGCAATGACCATCAACAAGGTTCAAGGACAAACCTTAGAGCAAGTCGGTATTTACCTTCCATAACTTGTGTTCTCCCATGGACAATTATGCATCGCACTTTCAAGAGCACAACGATCATCTTTTGTAAAAATCCTCATAAAACCAGCCAAACAATCAAAACACATGTCCAACATGACACGAAATGTTGTCTATAAAGATTTTATCAAAAAAACATCATAGGTAAACCCAACACACTCTACAAGAATTTGACAATCCACACTAAATGCAACATATCCTCCAACATAAACAAATCCATATATACTTGCACTCAAACTCAATAACAAATCAATCAAATTAAGAATATAGCACAATATGTAGCAAATCCATGTGTACATGCACACAGATTCACTTACACCTATATTTGCATTTGAAGGAACAATGGAAAAGAAAGTGTTAGGTTTTATTTTTGGCAATCCCGTTTGACAAAACTCCTTTCAGTTGTATTTATTCTCGCACTTTTATTTCAGTGAGGCTATGAGTGTTTAGATGCGAATCCAACCCGAATTGTGCTTTTCAGAGAAGGTTCTACCTATGTTGACAAATCCGGAGACAAAACATTGTGTTGATTCAAATGTAATTTTTTGTGTTTTTGTTCTGTCCGCTCGAGCGGAGCCTTGTGAGCTCGAGCGTAGATTAGCAGGTCTCAGTATTTTGTCAGGGCAAGCAAAAAATACTGGTGAGTGTGATTTTACGCTCGAGCGGATTCTCCTACGCTCGAGCGCATCTCAGTTTGTTCGCACGCAGTTTTTGGTCAGTCCGCTCGAGCGGACTGTGTTGAGCTCGAGCGGAGATCGCGGATCCAGATTTCCAGATTTGATTAAAGAGTTGGTTTTCTTCTGAATCTAGGATTACTTTTGGTTCTCTATAAATACTTGGTTTTCTCCCAAAACTAAGTGATTGATGGGACTTCTCCAGATCTTATTTTTGGATCTTAAGGTTTAGATCTGGAGAGATTTTGCTAGTTTTCTTTGATGTTTTGATTGAGTCTTCAACTCATGTTCTAAAGAGAGTACATCAAAGGTTGTGTTTTGTTCTACAAAAGAGAGTGTTGTTCTTCAGTTGTGGATTCTGAAGAGTTCGAGCCTGAAGCTTTGGTGGAATCTGGAGTGGCTCATCAGAAAGACAATTCCGTGGTGAAGATGGGGTTGGAAGAGGCACATAGAGGTTGGTTCAATTAGGCGTTGTGGATTCGCTAGGTAATTGAGAGTATACCTGTGTAATTCCTTTAATTCTTCTTAGTGGATTGTTCTTGTGGCTGTTGCCCGTGGTTTTTTTATCACAGTTGGAGGTGTCCAATTGTGGTTTTTTCCACGTTAAATTGTTGTGTTTTTTTTTGTCTTAATTGTTTGATTGGGATTGTTATATTCTGCTTAAACTTGATACATAATCACAAATCAACATCTAGTGGATTTCTAGATTTTTTCAGAAAGCTATAATGTTTTGTGAGTTATCTGACAAATCGCGCAGATAGAAAGCCAAACTTCGTGTCATTGAAAAACAGCCCCCTCATACAAGCAAGCTTAGGACAACTACTATCCAACAATTCATCCTAGTAGACAGTGAGGTATATTCAATACACTACTAACAACATATTACATTATCCTACTTTTAGCAACAAACAAAAACCTCACATACGCACACACACACTAAATATAGAACCCAACTACTCATTATAACTACTATTATGCCATATTAGGGCTCACGAATTCAAGCTACGTGTTTTGATGATGACATCCTTATGTTTAATGGCCTACTCAATGTATACAAGACATACTATTTTTCAAATGGTATTATCAAATACATTGACCCTCAAAATAGAATTGTTGACAACACAATTCAAATCATTCTAAACTCTCGGATATCAGTTGAAGAAATTGAAACAACAGAAGAAGCAAATGCATCAGAAACATACTTTTTCATCCAGCTAGTAGATGCATCCAACTACATTACAACAAATATCAAATTTGGTAAATTCATAAGCATACCACAACTAATAACAACACAATTACGCTTTTAATTACCTACCATTCACATTTATGTTACATGCCCAACAGATATTGCTACTATTACAACTAATGTTCTGCCGACAAGAACAATCACAAAGCGAATCGATGGATAACCAGCTAAAGTTCGAGAAATCTTTCTCATCGATCAATCGTTAGTTCTCTACCAATTTCCATGCACATCCTACATATGATATTAACATAATAGCTATTTCGAAGTTCAAATTAACAAGTACACAAATTTATTAATAACACTTTCAAATGTCTCTATCAACAGTAATCAGCCTATGAAGCTTTCAGCATGGGATGACTTCACCACAAATGAATAAGAACACATAAGCACCATTATTACTGAAAAACCTACATTTGTTGCCACCAACCTCAGAGCAACTACGTTTAATGGTAGGTTAAAATACCCTTGCCTTCAAGGGAAAATGCCATATAACTATTCTATATTTTCCATCATCGAATACCTAGAAGAATAAAATTATGATTACATTTTAAACTGCAAGTACATGATGCTCTCTATCAACTACTCCAATAACTGAATTCATCTTCGATGCCAACATACTTGAAATACAATCGCTGCGTGACTAGGGTACAAATCACAAACATTATATTCACTTTATTGCCTTCACATCTAGCATGTACTAATAGCTTCTTCATTACATTAATGCAGGCAAATAGCAAACCCACAAAAAATTGAAGAAATTGCAAATTCAAAACACATGTTTCTGTTACCATCTCCAACTTCATCTTCAAAAACATTTGAAGTTGTATCCATCAACAATTTTTCGTCACATGAAGTATATACCTTCTTATCTATCTTCTTAATTGAAGACAATTACATTGACATATATATATATATATATAAACATACTTGCATTTACATACTACTCTCTTTCAAAATAAGGCAACATATGGATAAAAGGCAAAATAACAGCAGAACCAGTAACACAGTGTCCGTGGTATGTTGCTTGTAACAAATGTAATTGCAGTAAAATGGAGGACATTGGCACCTCATTTACTTGCATTGAATGCAACACAGAACAATCTACAACAATAGTAAGGTACAAAACATATAATTTGGTACAACTAAATTCACCAAACCCATTAAATAGTGAAACCTAAGCTTTGGCTAGGCTTGCTTCATCATAATTTCCTATATTACATTCTATTATATCCATCTTAACTGCCTGCAGATCTATCCTCCGAGTTCAAATCAAAGACAACAATGGTAGCTTCCAAACAACTATTTTTGGACCACATGGAGAGAAGTTGGTAGGCCATTCAGCAGATGCATTGGTCTAATTAAACCTCAAGGCAAGTATCTCCTTGCAATTTCAAATTAAAGTTTAAATTAAAGCATGGCAACAATTATTTAATATGCATAGACTCTTCAATTGTAGGAACGCATACAGAAAATAGCTGACATGAACATGGCTTCAAAGAAAAAAGAATATTACATCCATATCGCTCCTACAAAAAATGCAAGTTCAACATGGGCAAACAACAAGTGGACTGTCCGACAAGTAGAAGATGTATAAATTCCCTCATGTGAAACAATAAACTAATAGTAGATCTAGATATATATATATATATTAACATATCTCTCTCTATATATATCCATATACTTCACTAAAAGTTATATATAATAGTTAACTTACACTTTTTGCATAACATATAAACAACCTTGGTATGTAATAACTTCCACATTTTGGACAACATATAAATAGCTATCATCAGTAGTACAAGATTATGCTTGCTAGCTTTTGGATACTACATATAGTACCTATTTATTCCTGCATTCAATCTCTATTTTTGTTCGATGAAATTCAAACTTGGTGTACCCACAAGGAGTACTACTCTACATATACTAAAAATTTCTCTGGCTTTCGGTTTACTTCTCTCTATCTCTCTCTGTGTGTTAATCACCGATTGAAAAAAGATTTGTTTGTTTTGCTGCTCCATGTATGCTTCTCAATAATGAAATGATTTTTCACTGCTTTCATGTTTTTTTGGGACATCTATTTACTTCTTTATTTTTAGACAGAAAAGAATGAATCTCATTATGATAAAAATTTATATGGCACCAGATGTCTCTTTTTGGGCAGTTACTAGATTTTACATAACCAAAAGTCATAGTATGTTGTCGATAACATAACTTCTTTGAAAATTTATGTAGTATGATATTGTTTGTACTTTAGCTTTTCTCCTCATTATGAGGTATACAACCTTCCATTTTTCCTCACTTGCTTTATGTTATGGTGTAGTGAACTTTTCATCCTTTCATTTTCAAGAATAAAAAAATTTGTATAGCTCTAATTTGGTGCAAGGTTTTGGCATTATGGAATTGTGAGTATAATTAGGATTATTATAGCTATGTGCTCTCATGGTTGACACTGGCTTCGTGGCTGAAATTACACAATGAATTAATACACTCATTAGAACATCCAAGAAAAATTATTGTTGGTGGTGTCCTACAAGATTCCACATGCAAGTAAATTATTTCTAATGTTTCACATATCATGTACCACCATGAACTGAAGAATATGAATAAATGGGACCGATGGAAGACCCAACACCCTGAGATTGCACATCCTGCCAGTTACCATCTGTTAATAGGCTGTTAGGCAAGCACTTCATAAATCACATCATTGAAGGGTATACTCACAGAAAACGAAGAGTTTTGTCTCATTCCACCATTTTTGTAACAAGCAGAGGACTTATTAGCCACTGATCTTTCAACACGTTTTCGAGCCTCAAAAGCAGCCTCCTCAGCTATTACTTTTTGGAAAGCACGCTGTCGAGCCTCCGCAGTTGCTCTCTCTACTGCAGCACGCTCTGCCCTGAGCCTGGCCTCCATAGATGTCTTATCCTCCATAGATGTCTTCAGTTTCAATGGATCCTTTTTTTTCCTGTAGAAATTCAATGAGACAAAGATTAGAGAGAGAGAAGAAGAAGAAGAAGGGGGGAGAGAGAAATACAGAGAAAATTACTAAATTTACTTTTTCAACTGAAGATGCTGCTCTTCCTCCAACAGCCTCATGGCTTCAGTTGTGAACGCCAAAAACGGAGACATTGGTTGCTGATCCTTTTCTTTCTTGCTCTTCCTCCACTGAGGGAAACATTTCTTCTTCCCGTCTTTCTTTTCTAGGTCTTTCTCTCTGTTCTGTTTACTGTTCTGTTTCGCTTTCGTCCCTGCTTTCTTGGCGGATTGAGGCCGTGAGAGGCTCTCATGGTTTTCGAAGGTGGTGGTGGTGGTGGTGGTGGTGCAGGAGAGGAGGGGGAGAATGCCGGAGTACCAGAAGGCGGCAAAAACCTTATTCATCTTTGAGAGAACCAAATATCATATTGAAGAGGGAAAAAAAAAAAGAACCATGGTGGATTTGAACTCTTTCATTTTCTGCAACTTCTTGAGCACCGCCTGAAGCTTTTCTCGCTCTTTCCTCTTTGCTTCAAGCTTCTCCTCCTTCATCTTCAAAGTCTCCTCTCTTGCCTTCAATAGCTCCTCAGTTTGCTCCTTCTCGATCCTCAACTGTTGAAGCTTTTCTTGTATTTCTTGTAACTCCTTCTCAAAAGATTGATTTTGTTGTTGTTGTTGTTTCGCTTTCGTCCCTACTTTCTTAGCTTTCTTGGCGGATTGAGGCCGTGAGAGGCTCTCATGGTTTTCGAAGGTGGTGGTGGTGGTGGTTGGGATGGTAGTGGTACAGGAGAGGAGGGGGAGGATGCCGAAGTACCAAAAGGCGGCAAAAACCTTATTCATCTTTGAGGAAGAGAGAGAGAGACTATGTAATGGCGTCAAACACTGTCGTGTGTTTTGAAAGAGAATTAGGTAAAATTATATATGAATGTAGTGGTGCAATATGGAGGGAGAGTGATCCGCGGAGTATCCTAATATTTTGAAACAAATATCCTAATCTATTCTAATTTTCATAATTTGGATGATTCTTACTTTAAAACTTATTAGGTAAAATATCTATCCTAATTTCCATAATTTGGATGATTTTTACTTTAAAACTTATTAGGTAAAATATTTATATAAAAAATTAAGGTAAATTACACTGACATCCTTTACATTTGGAAAATTACACTGACTCCCTATTAATTTAATTTTATGTATGATGATCATTACGGTGAGGGAAGAACTGTTATGCAACTTTAAGCCTCAAGGGGCAATCTGTAATGAAACTTTAAACCTCAAGGAATGACTGAAACATTTATTATTCACTGTTTATTTCACTGTTTAGGACACTTGAAACATTATTCTTATATTTACCTAATGGCGAACTTTTTAACAAATTTTTTTAATTAATTTATTTTTATTGATTTCATATTTTTTTTACCTACTAGTTTTCTTTTTATTTAATTAAAGGAATTTTGGTCGCCTCACTAATAAGTTAATGATTAATGATTTGTAGCTCGAAAGTTCTTCCCCTCGAATCCCCCAAATGTCCAAAACGACGTCGTTTTGGGCATTCCATTTTTTTTTATTTTTTTTCTGAAACAGAGGGAGAGAGAGGGAGAAACAGAGGGAGAAAGAGAGGAGGAGAGGAAGGCGAGAGAGTGAGATGAGAGGAGAGAGGGAAACAGAGAGAAAGAGAGGCCCCTCCATCTGCTGATCACCCAGCCGATCGTCGGAGAGAGAGAGAGAGAAAGAGAGAGGAGATGAGAGAGGGAAATAGAGAGAGAGAGAGAGGCCCCTCCATTCTGCTGATCACCCAGCCGATCGTCACAGCTCGGCCGATCGTCACAGATCGCCAATCGTCGCAGCTCGTCCGCCGTCTGCCTCTTTCTTCTTCTTCCCTTCTTCTTTCTTTCTTCCCTTCTTCTTTCTTCTTCTGCTTCTTCTCTGATTGAACCCAAAAAAAAAAAAAAAATTCAAAAACGACGAAACGATGCTGTTTTTGGATTAGGGGAATTCAGGAGGTGCCTTTTCGAGCTACGTAGCACAGCTCTGAGTTAATAACACTTAAAAAGTGAACAAAATAATAATAGTTCACCTTATTTAAACATTTATTAGTTTTTATTTTTGTGTCCCACAACCCACTAAAATAGAAATCCTTATTATCCAAAGTTTTTAATAATAAAATTGAATAAAACACTTCTCGTACAAAACTCCTGTAAAGAAAATAAAAATCATTATCTAAAAACTTGACAATAAAATTTTAATTGTCTAAAGGCCCCCCAAAAAACGATAAAGTATTAGAATAGACATGAAATTAATCTATACTATATTATAATGTAAAAACTTCAGTTGGTATAGATCAAAGTACGTGACGTATTTTATTTATCTAAATTATTATTGCATAATCAGATAACTGTTTCAAATTTTTAGTAATTGCTCCTCACTTTTTTTTATTTGTGGTACGAGTGTGGGGAAGAATTAGGGGCATGACTATATATTGACACATGCAAATCGCGCATGCCAACAATGACTAGTATTAAATAAATAAAGAAATATAACGAAAAAAAATTAATATCTAAATATAACAAGTTTCCTTTGAAATTTCGCCCAATAACTTATGAAAGTGTGAAAAATTGTGTCAAATAAAAATTTGTACAAATAATAATAATATGATAATATTATCATTATAAATAAAAAGTCATCCTTGTTTAATTTATATAAAATTAAATAATGCTAGTTTCTTATCTCATTTTTTCATTCTCTCAATTTTTATTTTTAGAAAAAATTATTGATTGCCTTAGGAGTGTCACGTGGCCATATTCCTTACCAAATTATAATTCATTATATCTCTCATATTTTTCAATCACTTATTATAAATTTATACACTCCATTCCTTTCATCAATCACAATACCGTTGGGGTATCACGTGACAGTATTTGAGGCCAATTAATAAATTTTTCATTTTTAGGCGAAAAAGTATAGAGATCCATCCTTATTCATTCAAAAAATTCTAAATGAATGATTGTGTGGTAAAAATTAATTTATACAATATAAAATCCTTATAAAGTATAGTAAACATTAATTTTTCAATTATTTTTGAATTAATAAGAATGTATTCGTAATATTAATCTTTTTAGGCACCTAATAATTCGAAGGGAGTCTGAGATGACAGGTGACACTCACAAGTCACAACCAGCCCACGTCACTTACAACATTCTAGTAAAGTCAGGTTTCTGACCACAACCCTTCATTTCATGCATCCATACCTGAGGCTTTTCCCATATTAAGCCAATTTACTATTTTAATTTCTAAATTAGGCTTAGTTTGGACAGAATTCCCAAATTAGGATAAAGCACTATTACAAATCACGCTTTCACTGTTTGGGGCCAAAAATTTGATGAATAGTGAAAGCGCTATTAGAAATCACGCTTTTAATTAAGAAAACGTGGTTGCAAACCACGCTTTTAACATAAATTTTTTGTCTGAAAAAAACGTGGTTCCAAACCACACTTTCACTGTGCATGACGTTTAATTTGTTTTCTGAAAACCACGCTTTCACTGTGCATATTCATTTTCTTAATAAAACGTGATTCACAATCACGCTTTCACTGATTAATGAAAGTGTGGATTGAAATCACACTTTTACAATTTATATAAAACCCCAAGCGCCCTCATTTGCAATCATGTTTTTACACTTACGTTTTTTTCTCCTCTCTCTCAGACTCTCGCTCTCGCTTTCCTCTCTGCTTGCTCGAGCTCTCCCTCTGCTCTCAGATTCTCACTCTCGCTCTCGCTCTCCCTCTGCTCTCAGACTTTCTCCCTGCTCTCATTCTCTGTCTTTGCTCTCTCTCTCTCTCTCCGTGGTATGGCATCTATCTCTCTTTGTCTCATTTGAATCTGATGTATTTATTGTGTTATGCAGAAATTGTGAATATGTGGTTTTGAACTGGTAATTATGGTTTGGAATTAGGGTTATGCAAAAATTAGGGTTTGAATTGGTAATTAGGGTTTTGAATTGGTAATTATTGTGTTATGCAGAAATTCCAAATTAGGGTTTGGAATTAGGGTTTTCAATTTGTTGAAATTAGGATTTGGAATTAGGGTTTTCAATTTGTTGAAATTATTCTTGTGGTTAAATTATGCTTGTGGTTAACTTAGGGTTTTCAATTTGTTGAAATTATTCTATATTTTTTGAAATTAGGGTTTGGAATAAACCAACCTATATTTGTTGAATTTAAAATTTTATTTTTTGCTTGTAAATAAAAGGAATTTTTTTTAATTAAGAATAAAATTATGCGAATTGAAATTCATATAATTGAGAATTGTTAATGTCATATTATGAATTGAGAATTGAGAATTGAAATTCATATTATGAAATTCATGAATTGAGAACTAAGGTGGACTGGCAATTTCAATTCGAGGTCCACATGCTTACATATATATGATCATTTTGTTTCAGAAAATAAGACTGCAAACTGTATGATTGAATTCAAAATCTGAAAATTGAAATGAATCTGAAAAATTCAAAATTGAGAGTTTTGAAAAAAAAAATCATGTTCTCATAAAGTCAATTTAAAAAAAAAAATCATGTTCTCTTAAAGTCAATTTTATTCAGTATTTCACCTTTATTCAGTGTTTAGAAATTGGATTAAAATCAAGACTAAAATAGTCAATTTATTGTTCTCAAAGTAATTAAGGGATTAGTGTGAGTGATATATTCCCTTTTGAATGAATTATTTTGCCTTTGATTTTGGTCTAATCTCTTAATAGATATTATCCGTTGCACTTAATTCATGCATTGTGTAAAATTAAAGGATAAAAGTTGATGCAATTAGAGCTTCAAGAATCAAATTGATTTGAGACAATAAGCAAACTGCACGACTAGGGATTCCATTTGCCTTTTATTACAAATGAAAATCATCTACATTTTTTTTTAGGGGAAAGATCCGCATCAAAAAATTTATACAAATTTTGTCAGTATATATCACTGCTCTATTAATTTTTTGTTTTTAAATTTAATCTTCAATATCAAATTTTCTTTTTGTCTTTCTTAAATTTTAAGAAAGAAGTCCTAATAATTGGGTTAATTAGTTAAAAGTCCTATTGGTAATGTTCATGTTCCATTAAGTTCTCTTTCTTTTTTGTTAACCCATAAAATCTTATTTTCAAAATATTTGTTTATGTAAAATTGTTTTACCTTTATTAAAAGAAGAAGGAATTGCGTCAATTCCTTGAGTGTTAGTAGAAAATTATTAGGTATTACAAGTGCACCACATGACAATGTTATCCACTAATCACCAAGCATTATACCTTATGCCCTAATACAAAATTGTAGGCCCACCCTCCCCATTAATCATAAATATTTTGAAAATCACCTAACCATGCCTCAAAAGTACTAGATATTTTCTCTTATTCAAATAGTATTGCTGATGTGGAATTTTATTCAAATACACATTTATTTTTAATAAAATATATATTTTTGGAGTCTACACAATGAGATTTATCAAACAAAACCAATATTGAATATAAAATTTAATAAAAATAAAATATTATTTTTTTAGTTATACAAAACTAACAATTTCTCAGTTTGCGAAATTATCTTACAAAACTGAGAAAATTATCTAATTATCTAATAGAAAACCCAAAATATGAGACATAAACACCTAGACAAGGCTTCTCTTTATAATAGTACTAGATATATATACACCTTTATTCAGTATTTCACTTGGTAATATGAAGGTGGGATTGTATACTTGAATCTGCCGTCTATTATACTATATGAGAAATGGTATTTGTCACCTGATTTATTTCACTATACTATTTTACCCTCTAGGTGTATTAATTCAATTGAAGACATT